ACACCTTAAATTGTGCTGCAGTGGAAGCAGTTAAACCATCTGTCACTGACAGTGGGAGCTTAATAAAAGCAAATTAATTCCATACTGGGTACAAGATGACTTATAAAATGACCCTAAGAGAACATAATGTGGCTGTTAAAACCTGTATTTGTCAAATTGTCATAATGCAGGGTTTCTTTTTTGGTTGCAATTGCACGTGGAAGGGGAGAGAACAACCTGTTTTCTGAGCTGTGGTTGCACAGCCCTATAAACTGTCAGAGCTGTGATGGCCCAGGGTTGAAATCCCATTTGCTTGGGGCAATCCTGATGCCAGGGCTCACTCTTCCAGCCGCAGACGAGGTGCTGTGCTGCTCTCGGGGCTTGGCCACGCTGGCTGAGCAGCGGGTGCAGGTGCTGCTCTTGCGTGCGGTGGATCCTGGCGTCTGTGGCTGCTTTGGCTTCTTTTTGGGTTAATCACAACAAATAGACATGGTAAATAAATTACGGGCAGCATTTCTTTCCTAATACATTTCTCCAGAGCGGGGTCTGAGCACCAAGAAGCTGTGGGGTGGGCAGAGGAAGGCAGTGATTTGGGAAAACCCTTGTGTGGGTGGGAGCTGAGCTGCCTCCTGCCTTCCCCAGCGATGCTGGAGCATGAGGGGGGCAAAACTGCCCTCCAGCCAGAGCAGCGTGTTCCAGTCACCAGCTGATTTGCTCCTGGGAGCAAAATTCGGTCTCTGCCAGCAGCAGCTTTGGGTATCACTGCTGTGGGAGCTCTGGGGAGGCTGCTCAGCAGAGCTCTACAGCTGACCCTGTGCCCAACAGGGAGCATGAGTGTTCTGTGAGGATTGGGGTGCGCGGGGGGAGCTGGGGGGCTGAGGAGGCCGAGAGACCGGCATCTCCATCTGATCTGCCAGGATGGATGCAGCGGGAGGCAGGATGCTCTTTAAGCATCCTTCCAACCCTAACCATTCTATGATTCTGTGATGCTGGAGGCTGGGCAGCAGTTTGTTGATGGAGTTGCGTGGGGACACGGCGTTAGACCTGTGATGTGGTGCCACCAGCACTGTGTTCCTGAACCAGGCTTCCCACTCCTCCTGTCACGAGTGATTTATGTTCCCTGGAGCACGAGCAATTGGCGTCTGCCTTGTGCCTGCTGCGAAACCCCAGGGACCGGCACCGCTCCAGGCTGCTGCAGTCCTGGGTGCACCGTGCATCCTCCATGGAAACCGGGTGGCATCAGCGTGCGAGCAGCTTCCAAAGCTCTTAATTGCTGGCACGCGCTGTTTTCCTCGGTTGGAAACCTCACAAAAGAGGGGAGGGACCTACCCCGCTGGGGAGAAGCAAATTGCAGGCACAGGGATGGACTGAGCCGCTCTGTCGCTTTTGCCATGCGTGTCTGGGTGGACGCTGGGCTGTGTCTGTGCCGGGGTGAAGCGTAGCCCACGTGCACGGCATGCCGTACGCTGCACCGTGCCATGCCGAGACGAGTCCCTTCGCACGCGGGAGGGGAGGGTCCGGGGGGGTCTCCCGGCACCCCCTTGCTGTGTGGTTGGGGTGGCAGCGGGGCTCTGCTGGTCTCCAGCCCCGTGAAATGGGTGACGTGAGGAAGTGGAGGGTTTCTGAGAGCGCATCTTCTGCGTGCGCAACTTAAAGGGAAGTTTGTTGTTGTTCTTGATTTTTTTCTCCCCCAGTGCTACTTTTGAAAATCTCTACCCCTGACTTTATTTTTAAGGGCTCCCGCACCAGCCCAGCCCCTGCACTCAGCCACGTCAGGCCTGTTGCAGTCAGTAGGGCGCACGGCAGCACGTGCCTAAGGACTTCGACAAACCGGGGGAGTTGAAATTGCCGTTGTGATAAGTGGATGTTTGTGTACGATTCTGAAATACCCCCAGAAAGCTTTGCTTTTATTTTCCGAAGGCCCTGAACAAGGAGACTGTAATACAGTGTAATCCGTGTTTCCAGAGGTCTGGTACTGTTTGCCAGCCTCAAGCAGAAATTGTGAACGCTCACTTGGGAATCACTTGGATGAATCTGGGGCTCTCCCAGTCCCAGGACTGTAGCCATCTTGCCAGATTGCAGCCAGGATTTCACTTTGTCCTGTGCTCGATTCTCCTCCTAAAAGAAATATCCTGGGTAGCCTTGGGCAATATGGCTTATTTACAGCTTGCTGTGTCCTTGTCTTGAACCCTGCGGGGCTGCCTGGGAAGAGACGAGGTTTGCTCCCAAAATTGCCTTTTTTTTCCTTTTTCTTTTTTTTTCTTAATTCTGTGGAGGTTGCAGTTTTTGTTCTGAGCCTTACCAGCCCTGATAGCACATCCCTTCACGCTTTCTGCTCTCTGCTAATGCTAACTCCTGAGCAAGCCCACATAAAACACGGGAGCGCTGCTCGCAATTCCAGGCAGCGCCGCCGAAATGTATTCCCAGCCTGTCTCGGGGGAAGGTGATGAGTTGTGGAAAGGCAGCAGAGCGCTGTGCTCTGAGGTCTGTCCCGCTGAGCCTAGTCCAAGACACAGGCAGGCTTGTTCGCAGCAGGTCCGGATTTGGGATGCTGAAGGCTGTGCTTCAGAGACCTGCTGTCCTGGCTGGATGCAAAGCCTCTCCGCTCAAGGGCTTTGGGTAACCCAGGCTAAGGCAGCGTCAGACCTGGAAGCAGCTGAGCCTCACGTAGGGAGTCCCAATGCTCCTGTGGCAATAAAGTCATCGAGGCTTCTCGAATGCCACCGCCGGACCCGCATCCCGCTGCCAGCCAGGCAGCAGCTGAAGAAGCTGTTGAAGAGCTCCAGCAATCGTGCAAAGAAATGAACAGTGTGTATTGCTGCAGGCTGTAATTCTTGCTGCCGCTTTGCATCCGGCACCGTGGTTTGACGTGATCGGCATCCCCAGGTTGGAGACGTGCTCAGGGCAGGAATTAGGCTGCGGAACCTCGCAGGGAACACTGCTCAGCCATGTGTCCTCGCAGCTGTCTGCGGAGACCCTGTCTGCAGCAGGTTGTTTCCCACAAGGGGACCCGAAGGTGGCTCTTGGGCTTTGCCGTGCAGCCAGGGAGCTCCTGCATTAGTTTAGCAACTCGTATTTCACATTTTTTAAATAGATTTTCATATCCCACTTGTGAATTTGAAGTTACTTCAGGGTCACGCAAGTCCTTACATCCATCTCGCTATTAGAGGAGCCATGAGCTCTGAACAGATGGATGCCAGGGGTGAGTGGGTGCTTCTGTCCTGAGTGCATGCTTTGGGCTTGGTCTCACAGTCCCAGGGGATGGGATGCAGGAGGGTGTCCCCAGCAGCACTTGCTGCCTGTCTGGCCGTGGCTTGGTAGCTTTAGCTTTGTGCTCTGGGTTTCCCGCCCCTTCTTACCCCCTCTGCGCGGTGCAGGCAAAGCGCTGGCACCGGGGATGGCCCTGGGAGCCTCGAGGGGCTCTGTAGTAGCCAAGGCTGCGTTTGGACTATTAGGAGGGTGGGAGCAGACAAAATCTCTGCCCCTATGTGCTGGTGCATCCTTTCCTGTGTTCCAGCAGGGTTTTGGAAAAGAGCCTGCTGGTTCTCTTCTTCCCACAGCGCCTGGGCGTGCCTGGGCTCTGCCCTCATCCTGGATGCAATGGTGGAGGATTGCATCCTGACATTTCGCTTCCAGGGTGTTCGTGGGCCTCCGCAGCCTGTGCCATGGTACTTGGGCAGATGGGAGGTGGGAGCATGGCTCAGGCTCTCGCTCAAGGCTGCTACAAACCGTTGACTCTGCAGAAAACCATCTGCAACTACGTGTTCCCGGAGCTTCCCTCCTGGCTCTCCTGACACTGTTCTTGCTCTTCCTGCCTTTCTCCCTGGAGAAGGGTGGCCGGCATACCATGAGCCTTGCTTGCCTGCCTTTGAGGCTGGGAGCAGGGAGGCTGGGTGGCCAGAGGCGTCTCCCTGGGGCCGGGCGGGAGGGGTGGGGTGCAGGGGCAGGCAGGGCTCGGTGGTGGTTTTCATGCTTTCCTCCAGCATATCCCAGAGAAGCGTGATCCGGCCCTCTTCTGCAGAAAGCACCTTGCTTTTTCCTTTTTAGGTGACCCGTAATGGGCACTGTGGTCCTGCTCCCCTGCAGCGCAGGTCTTGCAGCTGCTCCGACCCCACTGCAGCATCCTCCTGGCCTGGACTCTGCCCTGCATCCCGAGCTGGCTCTGCTCCAGCCCTTTATCCAAACCCATTCATTGCCTTTCTGCTTAAGCACTCTAAACCCTGACAGAATCGTGTTTTCCCATTATTCATTAGCGACATTTCCATGTGTGACCTGCAGGTGAAGCCCACCCACGCGCCAAATCTGTCGCTTTGCCTCCCAAGAGGAAATTCCCCAAAACCTGGGTGAGAAGCAGCAGCCGTCACCCTCCCAGCAAGCCCACGCGTGGGCAGACACTGGGCGGTTTCTGACACGGGCTGGGGTGCCTTGTCTGGGTTTGCAGTGACTGGTTTATTAGCCGTGCAGCTGGCTTGCTGCTGGTGTGATTTCAGTGCTCTGAGCTATAATTTCCAAAGCTAAGGAGGAGTAATCTAGTGGAGATTTAACTTCAGGTTCTGCCTGGGCAAACCTGCTGGAAGCTGGTTGAGGAGCACGGAGGGTTTTTAAGGGGGTGCCTGGCTTGGGAAGGCAGAGCCATGAATCCTAGAAATAGGATGCGATTTCTCATCTGCATCACAAGAAGCGAAGACACGTTCGGCAGGTGCTGGTGGCTTTTTCTGCCAGCGGGTTTTCGAGGCTGCTTTGTACGGGGCTGTCTGCTGCTCCGTGCCTCGGCATCCCACTAACTGTTGGGGTTTGTGTTACCCTCCACTGCCTGTTACCAGTGTACGGAGGTAGTCTGGGGCAGGGACACTGCATCCTGCACGTTTATCCTCTTGGTAGGGACCATCTCCGCCTGCGTTGCTGCCGGCGTGAGCTCAGGATCCGCGCAACCCCTGCGCTTCCCGAGCAGAGGTAGAGCTAAACGGACGCGGTGTTACCCAGTACATAAACCGGCTGATGCCTGTCTCTTCTCATTTCAGAATGTAACACCAACAGCAGAAGAAGAAAAACCCAGGCCTCCAACCGTCCAGGAGATCAAACAGAAAATAGAAAAATACAATGCAAAAGTCACCAACTGCCTGTTGATGAAGCTGGTACGTACCGGGCTCGGTTCGCGGCAGGACCCATGCTGGTTTCCCTGTAGGAAGGTCTCTCCAAGGCAAGAGGGCTCGTGTTGTCTTCCTTACTCGATTCGCTTTTTCTCCTGCTCTCTCCCACTTGGGTTTCCTTTGTACTTGAGATTAACCCTTCCCTGCCTCCGTCCCTTCTCGACGGGGAGCTCTGCCACAGCATTTCTGCGGGATTTCTGCGTTTTTGCAGAGCTGAGGGGTAGGGTAAGGGAGCTACAGTGAGACAGGCAGATCCTGAACGATGATTTATCACGTGGAGATGTGAGAATTGCGTAAGTGGGGGATAAAACATGAGGAATACAGTTGGGAGATCCCGCAAGGGGTAGAGACCTGCCCCGAGGTTTCAAATCCACACTTAGGTGCAGCTACAGATTACGTGTAATGGTTTCCATGACCGACTTGTAGCAGTGTTGGTTTTAAATAAGACAAGATCGCGCGGATGCGAGGAAAGGATGAGTCACGACCGAGTGGAAGGAACAGGAGAAAATCAGTACTGACTAACCCAAAATTACTGGTTACTTGTAACACAATTAATAAACCCTCAAGCTCCTAGCAGTCCCGAGGGGCGGAAAGTCCTGCAGTCACCCTGCAGGCTGCCAAGCTGTAGACCAGAAAGCCCCTCGTAGGGGGGAGGAGGGACTGGAAAGGCTCCCCGGAGCCTGACCCCCCTTTCCTTTGCTTTAGAACGACGATGGGACGTACACAGGCTTCATCAAAGTGCATTTGAAACTGCGCCGCCCCGTGACGGTCCCGGCGGGGATCCGGCCGCAGTCCATCTACGATGCCCTCAAGGAGGTGAACCTGGCCGATATGACGGACAAGAGAACCTCGTTCTACCTGCCGCTGGATGCCATCAAGCAGCTCCACATCAGCAGCACGACCACGGTGAGCGAGGTGATCCAGGGGCTCCTGAAGAAATTCATGGTGGTGGATAATCCCCAGAAGTTTGCACTTTTCAAGGAGATGCGGAAAGATGGGCAAGGTGAGTTCAGGCCCTGGGACCTGCCGGCTTTCCTGTGGCTGATCAGTTGGCATAGTGCTTCGCCAGGAACACCACCGAAGTGTTTACGGAATGGTTTGGGTGCGAAGGGACCTTAAAGCCCACCCAGTCCCACCCCCTGCCATGGGCAGGGACACCTTCCACTAGACCAGGTTGCTCCAAGCCTCATCCAGCCTGGCCTTGGACACTCCCAGGGATGGGGCATCCACAGCTTCTCTGGGCAACCTGTCCCAGTGCTCCCCACCCTCTCCGGGAAGAATTCCTTCCTGATGTCCCATCTCAATCTCCCTCTTTGAGTTTAAACCCGTTACCCCTTGTCCTGGCACTACAGGCCCTTGGAGAAAGTTCTGGTTCATCTTGGATGCTGTGTGTGAGGCAGGCAGAGCCTGAATGTCAGCCCGGCCACCACAAGAGATGCTGCTGCTTGAGCTACTGGGGAGTTACTGGTTTTCAGGAGGGGCTGAAGTCCCCTGAGGCCTAACAGAGATCGTTACAGATCGGTGACAGAGACTCAGCTATTTTTACTCTGACCCTGAGCAGCATGAACTGCTTTTACGTGCTCCAGTACCTCCTGAGCTTTCCTGCGGCTGACCCTGGCTGTCTGCTGTCCCCTTGCAGTGCTCTTCCAGAAGCTCCCTCTCACCGAGTACCCCCTGTACCTCCGGCTGCTGGCGGGCCCCGACACAGATGTGCTCAGTTTCGTGCTGAAGGAAAACGAAACGGGGGAAGTTGAGGTATGTCGGTGACTTTTCCCGGGGGTTTTATGTGGAGGCTACTAGCACTGCAGAGCACGTGGCCAGTGGGGCTGTTTCCCTCTAATGGGGCTGGGTTTGCCTTCCGAAATATTGAGTGGGATACCAGCTTTACTCCAAATTTAAATTGCCAGCTGAATGGACTGCCTGTGCCTTAAAGAAGGGGGAAAAAATTTAAATTGGTCATTTCTCGCTCCTAAATTGTATTGATTTTTAGAAACTTGAGCTATGAAAACGCCGATGCCAGGTTCGATGGCCAACCCGTAATCTGTTTACAGAACTGAGCAATGCCACCCCACAGTTTACCCTCAATAGCTCGGTTAGTTAGCACCGTTGTAATTAATCCACTAATGGAAGTAGAAGCCTGGGATGCTCAGGTAACCAATGTGCAGCCCGGTTTTGGTTGCAACCGTGCTCCTCGCCGCGGCGGATGTCGGGAGCTGCCGCATCCCGCGGGATTCTGCTGGCCATGCCGGCAGCAGCTGGGTGCCATGGGGTGGTTCAGGACGGGCCGTGCTGCCGGAGGAGCAGGACTGCGGTTGGTAGGGATGCAGTAGGAATGCCATGGGAGCACTGAGCAGACACTGGACAGTGTTAATGAAGTGATTCAGTCCTCAGCCCGTTCCTCGCCATCAGCCTGACGCTGGCAGAGGTGGCAGCCGGAGCAGCCTGTCCGCTGGCACCCTGTGCCTGGAGCTTCACCGAACCCCATTTTTGGCAACATCCCAATAAAATGAAGCGAGTGGCTCTTGCGGGGCAGTGCTACCTGCTGGGACCTCGCTCGCCTTCGTCACAAGTGCAGAATGCTACGTCAACCTAGATTTCAGTTCCTTAGGGAGCTGCGTCATCTCTTGCAGAGGGAGCTTTAATTCACCTGGATAACGATGATTTCTATTAAATCGACAGTCCTGGGCTCAGGACTGGGATGATCCTTTACGCTGTAGCCCATTATCCCATCTCTCTCAAACATGACGCTGTGGAGTAAGCTACCCATCAATGAGATAAATGTTTAAATGCCTTTTATTGTTCCTCTTCACAGATTCAGGGTGAAAAACCCCAAAAGCATTAAGGTGAGTGGCACGTGCTTACTTTCCCTCTGTTTCTGCTGGTTTTTTTGCAGTGGGATGCATTCTCCATCCCAGAGCTACAGAACTTCTTGATGATACTGGACAAAGAAGAAAAGGACAAAGTCCAGCAAGTGCAAAGGAAGTACGAGAAGTTTAAGCAGAGACTGCAGCAGACCTTGAAAGAGGCCAGAGGCAAGCCTGGATAGCCCTTCGGGAGGCTCTGGGCATCAGACTAAGCTAGATAGTATTTTTAAAATGAAAAGACACTTCTCAGGACACCTTAATGTGGTCACTTTCCCTCTTCATCCTTCCATTAAGGACTGGCTCACAGCACCCAGACAATGAACGGTATTGCGTTTGCTTCTTCTGACACCTCTTACCCCAGGACGAGAGCCGGTCAGAGAGCGGGAAGCCCGGTTTAAAACCAAACGCAGCGGCTGGTCCGCTTTTCGGCCGTACCATCAGGTGGAGAAGCTTCGTGGAAGATGCTCCGTGTGCAACCCAACGGGAACACCTACAGGCTAAGGCTTTGAGCAGGGTAGCACTTGCCGTTCACGCTCCTCCCAGCAGCTCGCTGCTCCTCGCTCAGAGGCACTGCGCCTCGTCGCGGGGCCGAGCCAGCTCTCGTTTCGTAAGTAGAGCGCAGGAAGCCGCAGATAAAGGTGGTTGCGTCAAACCACGTGGGTGTTGCAGCTGTAACCAATGCCGGGCGGACTTGTTCGGGGCCACCATGGCCAGAGAAATGTACAGTTGTGACACTGAGGCAGCTGCAACACCCGAACAGACCGTTCGTGTTGTTGAAACTTGGTAATAGTCATTCCAGGAAAAGTCATCCATGTTGATGCTTATTAACTTCTGGTTTTGAAGAGATGCGAATTAAAGCACGTACCCCTGAAGCGTAGCTAAGCTGGCCAGCGTTTTACCTGTTCGTTGGTAATTATTACCTATATTTTAATGAATTCTGTTTGCAAAGCGTAAAGATGATGGCTGGGGCGCGGGCTGATGGCGCGATGCAGAAGGTTCAGCAATACGTATCCAACAGACTAGCCCAGGGAAGCTCAAACCCCCTTCCACAAATCAGGCTTGAGCCGTGAGCAGGCCTGGCACTGAGGGAGAGGACCGGGGTGTGGATGTGGTTCCCTGCGTGGGAAAGCTTTAGCACCAGGACGAGGAAGGGAACTGCTAGTCTCGGATGCTTTCCGCCCACCGCCTTCTCGTCCTCTGCTTCCTCTTGCCGACCCTCCTCGCGCTGCTCTTCCAGCGCTCCTGTCCGTGACACGCCTGTCCCCTCCCTCCCTGCGCTGCTCGGTGCGTGTCGTGTTCTCCTTCCCTCCCTCCGCACTCGCAGCCGGTGCTCTGCTGGCACGTCCAGGATCGTTATCAGGTGTTGCTCTCGATGCGGAGCTGGGAGGATCCCTCTCTCAGGGCTCCTGCCGTCTCCAAAGCACACGCGGCACATCCTTCCCAACAACCCCCGCGCCGGAGCGTCGGTACTGCCATAGCTAACCAGCGACGCCGATCTGAAGGGAAGGGAGGTCCCAAGGGCGCCAACCTGAGGGGGTGGTCCCCGTGTTTACTCTCGGCGCTTTGTGCCCAGCATCCTGCACAAGGCCAGGCTCGGTCTTCCCCGTTCGTTCACAGAGCGCAGCGCGGGCGGCACGCTGATGCTCAGCTGGAGATGGGAAGGGGTTTCCTAGCGACCTGGCGAGCGCGCGGCCCTTGGAGCTCGCTGTAGGCCGCTCTGACCCCACCTGCGCCAAGCGGGAAGGGAGGCAACAGGCTATCGCTAAGTTACCACAGAGACAACGTGGAAGTCTAAAATTTACCTCAGTGCCTTTTTTTTTTTTCCTTAAGCGTGAAAACTTTGTACTCGGGCTAAAGAGGAAGTTGGAAGGGGCCTTGTCAGTCCTGTCGCCCCGCTCACCTACAGTTTGACAAGGCTGCTTTTGTCTGTAGAGGGAGGAGGAACTGTTTGCTTGCTGTCCTGAAGGTGACTGCTTGGGATTATTTTATTTTTTCCAGATTTATACTTGAGTATGTTTGTTTATAAAGCCTAAGAGAGTAAGTGCATCACTCAAAGCCCCTCGGTTTGTATAAATGCCGCTTTCTGCGAGCTTAGTTCAGCTCATGCTCTAGTCAGGAGCGTAAAAGGGTTTGCTAATGGGGCTGTGGCCTCTGGCACAGGAAGGGCCTCCCGGCTGTACTGTGCTCTACACCCAGGTGACCTTTAACAGGGTGGCACCAGCCCACATAGAGCAACTTCCTTGCTCTGGGGCTGTTTGTCCGTTTACAGGAATCCTTATTCACTTCACTAGGCGCTTGTGAAGTCATTTAAGTCACATTTGTGTAGTGCTTCCAGTCCTGAAAGCACTGTATAAATACTGCTGTCAGGAGGAAGAACGTAAAAACTGCTGTTAGTTCTGAGGAGTAAAATCCAGGCGCTTGTTTTTAAATCCCTTCTCATTCTGGCTGAGAGTTGCAGAGATTTCTTTTTCCTTGCTGTTGCTGCTTTCCACTAGAGCTCTGGTGACCGTCTCCCCTCCCGGAGCCCAGCATGTCTTTGACATTTTGTAGAAGGCATGGCTTCTTATGCAATTCCCGTGAATGCTGCTGAAAACCTCCTGCAAAGGGGATAGCTGTTTGGGTTTGTTTTTCCAAGATCCGGGGCGTTTGAAGAGTCACTAGGTCTTGCAACCCCAGTTCTCAACAGTTAGTTGAGCTGTGGCTAGGATGGACGGGTTGGCCCCTTCCTTAAGCGCAGAATACTGTTGGCAGTGCCTTTGGTCGGCGTAGCGTGTTGCCTAGCTCGTGGGAATTGGCTTTTCTTGTCCGTTGTAAAAGATGTAAAATAATGTGTATAGAATGGAATAGCAAAGCTTCTATGGCAAAGTGAAATGCATTTTTTGCAATGCTGTAATTTATTTTTACTACTCCTTAGGTAATTCGATGGCATTTTTAAAAAAAAATGTCTCACTTCCAGCTTTTTTTGAAGGTTCTGAAACGACTTGTTCATGCGCAGACAGTGTAAAAGACAACGATAATAAAACTGTCAGTAATTAAAGAAATCTCTTTAACTTCTTTTTCTGGCGCCCTCCTATGGAAGTTCCGTGTTAAGGCTAAAGGGAACATCGAGGAGTCCTCCCTATAAGTGAATTTTAGCTGGATTTGACAGAACTGCTACCCACATCTACCTGTAATAGATACACTTTACTGCACGACTTCAATTTATAAGCCATAAAAATCCAGCTAACGGAGCTCCTTCTCAGTGCTGGAATGTTTGATGTTAACACCTGGAAATGTTTAAAAATCTAAAATCAAAGGGGTTTTCCTTCTGACACACACCAGAAAACCAGCACACCATTAGCAACTTCTAGACGATATATGGAAACGGGTAACGCCAGGGGTTTCATTCGGCTTTTTATTTTTATGAAAAAGGAACAGTTGGAGCGATATTATTATTTGGGTGAATCCTAGACCTTGGACACATCCAGGACTATATTTTTTTGTTGTTTTTGAATGAATAGGGCCTGTACATTATCCATGATTTTTTGGCAGAACACTTCTATAAATAATATCTGAGTAATTCTTACAGTAGATTTTTCTCTTACTTCTTCCGGCCAACCTTTGGAGCCTTCTCAAGGCCTTGGATGTATTTCCGAGGTAGCTGGTACTCTTCTGCAACATAACCAAGACTTCACATCAGGCAAACATTCAGAGCTGAAGAATTAAAATCTGTCTCTTGCTGTAACCGGTCCCGGCCCAGCTCCAGAACAGACTTACCGAGCAGCATCTTGGCCAGGTGATGGATTTGGTTGCCTTGGATCTGGACCTGAACTCTGTCTTTTGTTCCTGGTACTGGGGTGATGGTGGCACTGGCTTGTACTTTCTGTTGCAGGATGTTGGCCACACTCTGTGGGTCCAGACCATACAGCTCAAGGTTCTTGATAACCGTCACCTACAGTTTTCAATAATTATTGCAAACGTCACTGCTGCGGGTATTGGGAAGTCACATCCCATTCCTCCCAGAAAAATGAGCTGCCAAAGCTGCTCTCAGAATCTGGGCACACACCCCAGAATTTTAGTTCTCTTCTTACCTTCTTATTTGATGATCTCTGTGCTATGGTTATGTCGATGGGCTCGATGTTTCCTTTCCTCACAATAGGTTCTTGTCCAAAAAATGTCACCTGGTGTAAGGGCTGCAGTCGTTCAAGGCACCTGAACAGAGTTTACGCATCCAGTTAGTCTACCCAGTTCAGCAAGGCTGGCCTTAACTGTGCTTTTCCACAGCAGCCTCACAGGTTTCTGAGACTACATGAAAGCCACGATTTTGCATGAGAACAATTCCTATCTTAAGAAGATCACGCAGGATGACCCCATGACAGGGCTGGCATCCTAGCTATTATTTAAAGCAAGGGACTAAGAAGAAAGCTAGTCTACTGACGCGCAAAAATTCTAGTGTAGACTGTTACTGATTAAAATGTCATCAATTGGTTCTTGTAGAGGAAAACCTTCTTTGTCTTTAAGCTATGGCTCAGTTGTGTCATTCACAGATCAGTGAAGCAACTTCAGTTTAAAATTCAGCATAAACTGTGTTACTGTCCCATGAGCAAACTTGGCTCCAGAAACAGAAGACAGTAAATTCCAGTAAGAATTTAGAACTCAGCTCAGTAACATGTGGCTTTGAGTTGCACACAAGAGATCTGTGTAATACTGAAACAGTCACCTGCTCAAGAGGTCATCCCATTTAAGGTCTGAGATTCCATCTTGTTCCGATTTCTCCAACAGGCAGTCGCACAGGATGGCGTTCACCTTTACAAAGCTACAAAACAAACGTGCATTAGAACCAAGAGGGTTCACTTTTTTTTCCCCTTTAACTTCAGCATCTCCTGAGGAAGCAGAGTAGGAAAACCTCTGTGTCTACTTACTTTTTGTTTGTTTCATCAACCAACTCATTAGTCTTCACATAGTTAATGATGATGTTTCTCACCTCGCTGCTGGAGAGGATGCTGCCTTTTCTAAAGAGAAAGAACATGGTTTAAGTAGTTTGGTGTCGGGTTCTGTCATCAAGACAGAAGACAGCAACTACGCTGAGTATATCCACAGCAACAGCTCAGTGCTAGATACATCTGCTAGGGAGTGATTCGGCTGCTGCACACCAGCTAGAAGGCTGACAGCAGTAAGGAGAGATGCCACACCCTTGATTCTGGGAGCTGAGTCTGGGAGGGTGACCCTAACAGTACCCCTAACTTCAGGGGACTGTGGGTAACCTCTACCAAAACGCTCAGTTGAAGCAAGGCTGCTGCTGAGTGCAACCTAAAACACATCAGAACAGACCAGATTAGGGCACAGGGAGGCAAGTGAGTTCTTCAAATTATCTGGGCATCCTCTTTTAAGTAAACCATGCTGTGGTTGGTCAGGATATGCCTTAGCCAATGGTGAATTAAGACAATCCAAGTAAAACGTATCAATTTTGACACTTGAGCTATCACCCCCTTAACTGTGAGAGAAGTGACAGGAGTACTTGCTGAAGACAGTCCTCAGAGCCTCTTCCCTTTGTGAAGCAAAGACCACATTCCTGATTCCCATCGCTTTTCCTGACAGCACCGCAGGGCCCTCCCCACGAGGGCGAACAAAATGGTACCAAAGTAGGTTTGTTAGTCTCTCTCCTCACATACTAATGGTTTTGTTGTACCTTTCCAGTGCTTACCTATGTCCAGATTCCTGAAAGAGTGGGATCATTTTTGCTGAGACCCCATAAAGCGGAATGATTTCAGGAGCGTGGTACACTTGTTCTCCGTCTTCACCCTTGCTGTCTTGGGCAGCAGAGACTGAGGAAAATCCTTCAGGTACTGCAAATGCTTTAACGCTGGAACAAGAATGATCTGGTGAGAGTGAAAGGGATTGAAACATCTCACTTCCATTTCACTGAGAAACTAAAACCTAGCGGAGTCATGCAAAAAGCTTTCTGGTCTGTTGTATGGTGTGTCAGTTCCTCCAAATGCATTCCACTGCGGAGGAGGCCTGCATCTGTGGATTAAAGGACGGGATGAAAGAACAGTATTTTGCAGCATTACTCGTATGTGTTTCAAAGATAGCACCTTAACTCAGGTGATACCAAACACTTTTCACGCTGAGTAAAGCCCTATAGGGTGGGGGAAAAGTAAATCTCTCCAACTATTCTAAACATATTTGACTCTCGTACTTGGAGACAACTGCTGGAACTGAAAGGATGCAGCCCTATTTCACAGAATCATTTAGAATTAAATTAAAGAAAAACCCCAACTGCACTTTCCACAAATTTACAGACATGTAAAAGCTGAAATGACCCTTTAGTGGTCACTGATAAGAGCCAGTTCTGGAAGAGGGTGGTAAGAACTGTATCAGTGCAGGAGCTGGAGTCTCATTTCAATGACTGGAGCTGCAAATTCTACGCTTGCAGGTGAGAGAACTGACAAACGGAATTTGAGTATGCCTGTGCTAAAGGTAAGGCCATGTATCATGAGAGACAAGTTAATGCAAAGAGTCAAAGTAATTCTGCTTCTTTCCAAAGGCAGCGATGTGCTTGTATCTACAGAAATATTCTCCATTCCATTAGTTGCCAAGGAGATATGATATAACAGGAAGCCTTGGGCCCGCTGGGAAATTCCGAGAGCACGCTATGTGCCAAGATGCAGAAGGAACGATCAGGATATGTGAGGTAAGTACTAATCCTTTGAAAGATAACAGAAACACCCATAAAGGAATCAGGTAATAAGTAACTGAATGGGGAAGAGTGTTTGTGCAAATCAATGTGTAATGGAAAACACAGCTTTTTTGATTATTAATTTTTGAAATTATAACTTTGGCTTCTGATTTTGCAAAGTGCTTGATTTGAGCCTGTATGGCATTCTGAGGCTGTAGTTCCAGGAGCCTTTATTCGGCAGCAGTGCCATCTTATTGGAGCTGTTGCTCAGACAGGCGAGTTCAGTTCAAAGCTGAACATGAGTTGGCGCAGCACCCAGATGGAACAGGGAGGGGGACACCTGCTTAAACTGAAGGGCATGAAACAGTCACACCATTACAGTTTTTAGTGACTGCTAACAAGCCTGGTACTGGAACTCTTTCATTAGCATCCAAACTGGAAGGCAGAAATTTGTCATTATAACACTGCAACAAATTGCCATGAATTGAATCATCCTTAACATTTTCAAGGCTGTTTCTTTGGAAAATTTATACGCCCACTACCAGAATAAAGAGCCATATGCAACTGTTCAGATCATTTAGCAGTCCTTTTTTGATCTGAATTCCTACGGATGAAGGCACAGTGCCCGAGAAGGAAAGGTGGAAATCATGACGCTGTCGTCAGACTTTAAGCATGTTCAGTGCCGCTGAGTAAAGAAGGAAGATAGAGTTGACCTGGAAGAGCTTTACAAGAGCAGGAAACATCAGCAATATTCTACAGAAGCAGGGTATAAGCGCCCTCCACAGCAGTTTAAGATGAGGAAATGAGGGCTGCTAGAGGAATTCAAGCAGAGTACAGGTAGCAGAGCTGGAAGGAGCAGATTCCGCTACCTTCTTTGAGGCTACCAACTCGTTTTACAGACTACAATGTTCTACATACTCTGGATGTTTCCAGTCCACTTCCACGATGCTCTCCACCCCTTTGTTCAGCTCCTTCACTTGCAGGATCTTCTGGTGCTGCATACATTGCAGGAACTTCGAGAACTGAAGGAAGCAACAATCAGAAATGTGGAGTCCAGCATTTAAATTCCTGTCCCCGCATTTCTGACTGCCCCGAAGTTCCTTGCTAAATCAGAAAAACTGCTTTAAATACACACCCCACCCCTCTGCTTCCCTAAACACAGCAACTGCTAAGGAGCAGTGAGTGCCTCTGGTTGTAAAACAGAGTAAGCAAGTGTTCCTTCTGTCTGCTCCGTGACCTTCTTAGCCGTGTCACAGGACATCTCACACGGACTACTCGGAGATCTTTGCCAATGCGCTTTGTCTTTGCTTGTCATCTACACAACGGGGACAGCATTGTTTCCCTTCTCTTCAGTTTTGTTCGTTATCTGCTTTAGAAGAGGAATGGCCTCTTCTCCCACGGAACTGCACTGTCCAGTGAGATCAGAACCCTTCAACAGCCATCGCAGTGTACTGGGGCAGACAGCATTCACTGCCTTCAAAGCAGACCAGTGCTCCTGCTTCCAGGACAGTTACTCTTCTCCCTGGATCCCACAGGAGCAGGGAGCTGAGAAAAAAACCTTGGCTTTTAAGAACAACCTCTGGGGCATTTTGTCTGTCTGTTTGTTTTACCAGCACCTGAACAATTTTGACTTCAAACTTTTTCTCTCCTTTCCATTTAAATCAATGCCAAAAAAGACAGAAAAATCTTACCTTCTTATAGCTCGATTTCTTGATGTCCAGTTGTTGTCCTGCAGGGCTATAAATGGATTTTTCAAAAGTTCTTTAGTTATAAGTCACCACTTCTTTGTAAACCTTGCTACTTATGCTAGAAGTTTCTCAGCAGCAGAAATACAAATCACGCACAGAAAGAATGACTTCAAACAAGCTAAAAAAATAGAATGTGATGAGTGAAACTAGTGCTGATGTTCCTGTGGGTAGGCAAACAGCCATTTAAGTGACTAAACCATCTGGAAACAAATGTCAGCCAACTCAAGTGAGCTATCGAGTGCATATCCTGGTCTGGTCCATCCTTACATCAAGGTATTTGATGTAAGGAGTGAGCATAATGTAAGGCCTGAATTTTACTTCTGAGTCAAAAACTTCATCCTAAATATCACATTCTACCTCCACTAGTTTTAAAGCAAAAAAAAGACCCAGCGTGCAAATCCAAAGCCAATCTTCTTACCACGTACCAGCATGGGAACATATGGCTGCGCAGAAACGTGCTGGTGAGCAGAGGGAGATCTGACTTCTTTACTTTGCATTTTAAGGCATGAAAAAAGCACTGATTCAATAATGCATCC